CCCTTATGATAAAACTTTTGCATACAATCTTAATTATTTCCATGGGCCAAATTCCTAGAAGTGGAATTGCTGGGCAATAAGGTTTGCAAAACTAAAGCTTTAACTTCATATAAAGGGAAGTATAAGTGATTTCTCTTGCATACACCAGATCCTCTTTTGTGTGTGACTTATTTCACTTAACATCTTGGCTGTGAGATTCATGCTTTTGAAGCATGTACTGTTGATGGACATGTCTTTTGTTGCCAGTTTTTAGCTGTTATGAATAAAGCTGCTAGGAACATTCTTGCGTAGGCCCTTCAGTGGCACAAGCCCTCATTTCTGTTGCATGTACTATTCCAGGAATGGAGCCCTGGCCCCTAGGGCAAGTGATCGTCAGCTTTAGTAGGTGCTGCCAAATAGTTTTTCAGACTTGTTCTCATTCATAGTGTCGCCATAATCCTAATACTTGGGATTAAATTTTTATTTTAGCTATGCTGTTGTGTGTAATGACTTATAGAGTGTTAAAATATATTCTGGATATGTTGTTGGGTATATATAAGCTGCAAATCTCTGACTCTGTGGCTTGCCTTTTTAATCTTTCAATGAACAGACATTCATAATTTCAATGTAGTTCAAATTTATCAACTTTTTTTTTGTGACTGGTGCTTTTAAAAATATATATTTTTATTGATTTCAGAGAGGAAGAGAGAGGGAGAGAGAGACAGAAACATCAATGATGAGAGAGAATCATTGATTGGTTGCCTCCTGCATGCCCTCTACTGGGGATCAAGATCACAACCCAGGCATGTGTCCTGACTGGGAATTGAATCGTGACCTCCTGGTTCCTAGGTCTACGCTCAACCACTGAGCCACGCCAGCTGGGCTTGGCTGAAGGTTTTGCCTCCATGCTGCTAGCTTATGCTCCTGTGTACGTTAACTATAATTATGTCTTCCTTAGATTGAGGAACTTGCCCAGACTCTTTCTTGCAATTCCAATCAACCTTCCCTGGACGATGTGAGTGTGGCTGAGTCATCTCCTACCTCAAGTCCTCCTGTGAAGAAATGCTCCAAAGCCCAAAAAAGGTGGCAGATGTCTGCAAAGAAAGCTCTTCTCTTGTGGGCTCAGGAGCAGTGTGCCACGTAAGTAGTTGGCTACGACCAGAGGAGACACACAGGACAGTTGTACCCACTAACACAGAGTTGCTGACCTCTAGGTTTGAAATTCAGGCCAACTGGTGTAACACTACCGAACGCTTCCCTCTCATAACACCACCCGCTTCCTCTCATAGTGTGTTTTTCAAATGTGGAAGTCCGTGAGCTCAGCCACCCCTGGTTTTGAGGACCAGAAGGTGGTATCATCTGGGTAACTTCACCTCACTCCCATCCACATGCGGAGGTGGCCTCTGTGCAGTTAAAGTGCTCTTCCAATATCCTTGTCTTTGGGCACAATTCCCCTGTGCATTGGGAAGGTGGACTTAGACTCCAAAAGTTTTACCACAGACGGAGCTCTTTAAAAGTCAAGACTATGTCTTAATTGACTGTGCTTCCTTAGAACGTAAGCATAATGCAGCGGTTCTCAACCTGTGGGTCTCGACCCCTTTGGCGGTCGAAAGACCCTTTCACAGGGGTCGCCTAAGACCATCCTGCATATCAGATATTTACATTACGATTCATAACAGTAGCAACATTACAGTTATGAAGTAGCAACGAAAATAATTTTATGGTTGGGTCACAACATGAGGAACTGTATTTAAAGGGCCAGAAGGTTGAGAACCACTGGCATAATGTGAGTTCATGGTAATGCTCCATAAATGTGCGCTGAGTGGATGAATGAACAAATAAGCAAATAAGTAACCAATTTATAAAATTACCCCCTGGAACTGTATATGACTACATTAAAAGACCACAGTTCCCATTGTTTAGAAACTCAGAGCTCAGGAAACAAAGAGACAAGAGAGTGTATGTTTTTAAAAAGTAGGGATGATGAAGGGAAGTTAGTGCTCATAAATTTGTTGTTGTTGTTGTTTTTACACACAAAGAAAATTGTTTTCTGCTCTTGGGAGACATTTGCTTTTTCATTTTAACTAACTGCTGGGATGGAGTTTGAGAGAAATGAAGAATTAGGATGCAGGAGAACTCACCAGGAGAAGAGCTGGGGAGTTCCTTGTCACATCATAGCATTGTCTGCATAAATAGAGGCATAAATGTGTTGCTAATAAGCCCTTTCAGAGAATGCGGGCTTCTGAGTAACTCCTTCCTAATGAAAGACGGAGATGTTAATTTCTGCCTTCAGCTTTACCTCTGTTCTGTGAGGCACCCAAGCATGCATATCTTATAGGTTATAAATATTAATCAAACTTTTTCTTGAACCTCCCAGAGACCAGTTTACTTTAGTTTTCTAAAATTTTTAAATCCCAAATATAGTATGTGGGGAAAAGCATTATTGCATCCTACTCAGATTTGTTTCATTTATGGATAAATGAAATTCAAAGTCCACGAATTTTACCACAGTTTATCTTTTCCCCGTGTCCTTCCTTATTTTTCAACTATAGAATTTATGCTAAATTTATTAAGATGTAATAATTAATTCTTAAGTAATTCATCAGGAGTTTATCCTACTTTTGGCCATCCTTGGTGGTATTTTTAGCTAACATTTATTTCAATGTTCTGTGATTCTCTAGGACTCACATGTATGACTGTGCTGTAAGAAACATGTATCTTCCTATTTCTGAAGATCACTCGGGCCCCCATTTGAGATTTAAATGAGCCCCGATCCTTCCAGTCACCTTGGAGCCTGACCCCTGCCCTCTCTAAGGCCTGGCAGCAACACGTTCTTTGTGGAATTGGTTTCTGCTCCTCAGTGCAGAGCTGACCTCATAGCCTGGTGCTTTATTGAGCACAGTGCCTGCCAGGCAGCACGGAGCTGGTGCTGGCCCTCAGCACGCTGAAGGTGGCCTGGCCCTGCCCCCAGCCCCAGCCCCTGTCTCTTTAGCTGTCAATTCAGTTCAGTCTCTAAGCGCAGACTCAGAAGCCGAATACCTGGGTTTTGAGTCATGGCTCCCAGCCCTTCTGACTGGTGACCAAAGACACTTTGTGTTTGAGTTTCCTCGCTCATAAAATGTGGGCAATACTCACTGACTTCATAGGGTTATTAAGTGTGTTATAATAATTCTTTTTTTTGACAGCATTTGGAACAATTTCTGGACACAGTAGGGACCACGTAGGCATTTGTTAAATAAGACAAAAATCACTGACTGCCATGTAATTTCACGTTCATAATTTAGGCTTTGTTTCTTAAGGAAAGCCCAGGTCATCTGAAGCAGACTGTTTCTTGAATAGCTTTTACGATTTGATTTGTACTTTAAATTAGCCCATTGAATTTCCTTGTGTTTTTATAGGATATTAAAGGAAACTATAGTTGTTCTGGAATTTTTCCTATACTTTGTAGGCAACTGTACTCTTTTATAATATCTTCATCTCTCGTCAAATACTGAATAACGGTTCCCTTGTCATATACACATTCTTCCATCCTGCTAAACTAAAGCTCTGTAATCTATTACACAACTTCCCATTTCTACCTCCCCTCAACCTCCGGCAACCAGTGATCTACTTTTCCAATCCATGAATTTCACTATTCTAGGTGCCTTTAATGAATGGAACCATAAAGTATTTGTCCTTTTGTGGCTGACTTATTTCACTCAGCATAACACCTTCAGAGTTCTTTCATGTTATAGCATGTGTCAGAATGTCTTTCCTTTTTAGGGCTGAATAATATCCCATTGCATGTATATACCACATTTTGTTCAGCCCTTCACCTGTGATGACCAGTGGGAAGCAGAGGAGTGACAAAGCTCTGTATCCGATGAGCTACGCGCCATTATTGGTCTGGCACAGTATATCATTTAGTTTGTTCCAATGAGAGATAAATTTTCCTCTAGTGAAAGGAACTTAACTGTATGTAGAGATTCTAAGTCAGTCTTGAGCCAACAGATTGTTGAATGAGGAACATTAAACTGAGTGAGTATCATTGTCGCGTGAAGGCTTTGAGAGACACAGATTTCAGGCCCCCCCCCAGAGCTGATTCTGTAGGTCTGGGGCGGGGCCTGAGAATTAGCATTTCTAGCACTTGCAGCCTTGGTGCTGCTGGTCTCGGGGCCACACTTTGAGAACCAATGTTCTGTAGTATTGTGAACCTCATCAAACTTGGCGTTTTACTTTAATTTGACCACAAGATTAAAATAAAATATTTTCCCAGGATGATTTATGATTGATTTGAGTCACTCAAATTTGTTTTAATTACTGTTGAAGAGAGTGGGGTGCTTTGACATATTTTTTTCAATAGTATATGTCATGTTTTTTGTCCTTTTGTGATAGGTCTGAGTCTGTCAGTGTGACGGATTTTAAGTCAAGCTGGAGAAATGGGATGGCTTTTTTGGCCGTCATTCATGCCTTGCGACCAGACCTCATTGACATGAAGAGTGTGGAGCAGAGATCCAACAAAGACAATCTGAGAGAGGCCTTCAGAATCGCAGAACAAGAATTAAAAATCCCCCAATTGTTGGAACCAGAAGGTAAAGACGCTTCTTTCTTTTTAAAACCATGTCCAGTGTGACATTGATTTGAAGATGCTAATACCCTTATATAAGCAAACAGAACAGCATTGTCTTTTAGTCCCGGAAAGTTGAACTTAAACTCTTTGTTAAATTTCATGAAATTAAGAATTTCTACCAGTTAGTTAACCTCAGTTATGCTTTGCTTCCTCTCTCTCTGTACTGTACTCTTTACAGGGATGTCTCCATGTGCAGCTCACACTTAGGACAGTTATGTTCATCTTCCTTGAATTCTTTGGAATTCTTCTGCACAGGAGGTGTGTCTGTTCTCCATTTGTTTATTTATTCAGCCCTTTATTTATGTCAGTATGGACTCATGGATATTTCATACTTTGGGTTGTATTCAATACCACTTTATTGCTCAAATTTAAAAAAAATTTTTTTTAAAGCTCAAAGTTTTGGCCAGTGGGAGCTCTTTCAATTGGCTGCTGTACTCTTTTGACAAATCTCCACCAATGTGGCATTTGCTTGTGTGTTTTGGGGCATGGCCTCACTTTTTGGCAATATAAGATCCTCCAGGCTTATCTTGTGTATTTCCTTTTCCAGTCCTGGGGCCATTTCTCCAATGAGCCCTGGTTCCTTTTACTGGAGAATGGTATGAGAAACCAAGATCATGCCGCCATATGTGCTCAGTCTTACGGGTACTTAGCCTTTTTGGACTGCGTTTGTTTTCAGGAGTTGAATTAGGTGATATTTCTAAGTTCACAATGATTCCATTCTTCTTTATATCAGGTTTGTCATTAGTCTGGTCCTATGTTGCTTGTTATTAATTCTTCTTATTTTAACTTTTCCTCTCATTTCCTTTCTTTGCTTCCTTTTTCCCCCTTTCTTTGTCTTTTCTCTTTCCTTTTTGTCTTTTCATTATCCTTGAATTTTTTCCATACTTGGTTCTATTCCCTATTTTTTTATTACTATGTTTTTTAATGCTTCTTGCATATTTAAAAATTTTTTTATTGAATTTCCTGGGATGACATCCTATATAATAAAAGCCTAATATGCTAAGTGTCTGACTGTTCGTTTGACCGTTCGTTACACACTGACCACTAGGGGGCAGATGCTCTGGTAAGTTAGCTTGCTGCTGGGGTCTGGCCGATTGGGACTGGGCGAGACGGGCTGGACACGCCCTGGAGTCCTCCCTTGGTACCTCCCTGGTCCTGATTGTGCATTGGTGGGGTCCCTCGGCCTGGCCTGCACCCTCTCGCAATCCACAGGCCAGGCTGGGGGACCCCACCGTGCACCGGGCCTCTAGTTGGTTAATAAAATTATATTGGTTTCAGGTATATAATTCTATAATACATCATCTGTATATTGTATTGTGTATTCTGTACCCAAAGTCATGTACTTTGATTCTCCAAATCTATATTATTAGTATAAAATACTTGGTTGTTAAAATAACTAGGCAACCAATGGAATAGATTATATAATGAAAACATATTTCCATTCTATGAACGATTGTCCATAATTCATTTTAAGTATCATAAATATTAGATAAAAATGTGAAATACATCATGATTATTTATGCAAACCAAATACCATAGTCATATTTGGATAAGGGAATTATCTTTTGACATAATTTGGTTAAAGCGTTTAATCATTATGCATAGCTTCATACAATGAGCAGTTTTTAAAAAATCCTAGTTAAGCCAGTATCATTATTTTATGTATCTCTTTATTATATTTACATTTTCTTCATTAAAAGATAGAATAACTCAACTCTTAGGGGTTCTTCCTTTTATGAAACCCCACCCCCAGCTTTATTGTTACCTTTATATGACTACTGCCTAGGATTTTATTATTTGTGTATAAATTAGATTTACTCGCTCCTTTAGCTGGCTTAGGGCACTCGTTGGGTCCATGCAGAGTGTGTAGTACTCCCAACCATAAGCTCCTTGAGGGGAAGATTTCTTAAGGCATCTCGATCTACTCAACTGTCTGTCATCTGCTTGATGAATGATTAAAGGGATGAAACATAAGGCCCCTAAGCTGTACAGTAGTCCCTCTTTGTGACTTGCATTTGTTGGATCTCTATAAATATTTTTTGAATTAAGTTTAACTGAATTAATAAACAGAAGATTCTTTTCCCCAATAATTTTCATTGGTTGTTTTGGGAACATCCCAAAATTGCATGTATATTTTGTTTGACATATTATAATCCCTTTTTGTGATTTTTGTGATCTACCTAATTTATTATATGTCTTGGAAAGTTCTACAGCTAAGGAATTTATAATATTTTTATAAACTTTGTTTAATTCAGCATTTTCTAAATTTATTTCATCGTGGACTCTGTCAATGAAGCACCAAACTTGGCCCATAGAAGGCTCTCAGTGAATATATTTGTTCCATGAATGAACGAATAATAACGTGTGGATGTCTTCTTAAAAAATATGTCTTTATTGATTATAGAGAGAGGAAGGGAGGGAGTGAGGGATAGAAGCATCAGTGATGAGCAAGAATAATTGATCAGCTGCATCCTGCATACCCCCTATTGGGGATTGAGCCTGCAACCCGGGCATGTGCCCTGACTGGGAATCAAACTGCGAGCTCCTGATTCATGGGTCAGTGCTCAGTCACTGAGCCACACCAGCCAGGCTCTTGCGGACGTGTTGAAAATACGTCCTTTCATATAATATGTATTTTTGGGAAAGTTTACTGAATACATGCTGAGACCAGTGTGTCAGGAAAGGATTCCAGTTGCTTTATGTTCCTACACTCCTGGGGGAGTTTCTGTACTGTGTCTCTGGAAAGCGGAAGGCTTTCTTTTCTCCTTTCCACCCTCCCTCACTCCTTACGCTCCCATCCATACAACATGCATAGTAGTCATTGAGGCTGTGCATGCACTGCTGCCAGGAGTCAGCTGAGCTGTTTGGCTCTAGCCAGGGGTGGGCAAACTTTTTGACTCGAGGGCCACAATGGGTTCTTAAACTGGACCGGAGGGCCGGAACAAAAGCATGGATGGAGTGTTTGTGTGAACTAATATAAATTCAAAGTAAACATCATTACATAAGAGAGTACGGTCTTTTTTTTTTTTTTTTTTAGTTTTATTCATTTCAAACGGGCCAGATCCGGCCCGCGGGCCGTAGTTTGCCCACGGCTGGACGTAAGTTCTTAGCCACTGCTGTCTTGGAGCGAGGGCGAGTGGCCAGAGATGGCATGGCTGGTTGACTACTTTGGTTCATTTCAAGGCTGTTTATGGCATAGCCTGTTCTTGAGTATTAATAACAGTGAACGACATCGATAGCTAAGTGATAGTGTGGCATACCTTGCAGATGTGGATGTTGTCGATCCCGATGAAAAGTCAATCATGACCTATGTGGCGCAGTTTCTACAGTATTCAAAGGATGCACCTGGGACTGGAGATAAAGCTCAGGTATGTCTTTATAAGTACAAATCAAGCTCATTTTTGTCATACCCTACTAATGGTTTAATTTTTAAAATTGAGCTTAAATTTGCATATTGAACTTAAATGTTCAGTTTTGAGTTTTGACAAATCTATATACCTACATAAACCACACTCCAATCATAATGTAACACATTTCCGTGACCCAGAATGTTCCATTGTCTCTCTTTCCTGTCTGTAGTCTGCACCCCAGGCAACCAGTATTCCAATTTCTTTCACTGTAGAGTAGTTTTGCCAGTGTTTTTTTTTTTTTTCCCACTCATATATGGAGTTGAATGAACAAACTGAACTATCAAGCTAAATAGAGACAGACTCATAGACAGAGAGCAGGAAGACAGATCTGGGGTCGGGTCGGGTAGAGGGATTGAGCAAAAAAGAAAAAAAAAGAGAGAGAACTCATGGACATGGACAACAGTGTGGTGATTTTGGGGGTGGAGGGTATGGGTGGGGGTGGAAGAGGACATAGAGGGGATAAATGGTGGTGGAAAAAATAGAGTTTATTTGAGTCAGACTGATGACATATCTCAGGAAGTAAGATCTCAAATGCTCTTACCTGTTCTTTTTTTTAGTTAAAAGTGGTAATTTATTAAACGGTGATGAATTGCCTAAAACAGCTTTAGATAGGCACTATATAGTACATATTAAGTTAGCAGGCTTTTTAAAAATTCTAGCACTATCAAGTTTTTGTCTATTGTAATTTTTAACAGTTTTATTGAGATACAATTTACATATCATAAAATTAAACCATGTAAAATTTATAATTCAGTGATTTTTAGTTTATTGAAATAGTTGTGCAACCCTCTCTATAGTCTAATTTTCCCATATTTCTTTT